TTTCGACAAACTTGCGTTATCGACTGGGATGGTGGTTAGATGATCCTGGAAGTCCAGTTGGGAGGAGGGTATGGGTTTTGGTATCACTTCTTGCGAATTAGGTTTGAAACCATTCCCTCCGTTGTTCGTTAGAATGGATTCGTCTTGAACGTTCAGACTCGTCGTCGGGGAGTTATCGATCATTTGACCGTTCACCAATGATTTCTGATCTTCCACATTGGCCTCGGTTTTTAGAGATAGAGTCGTGTCGTTACTCGTTCCATTCTTGAGAAGTGCCAAATTGGGATCGCCGTTGGGGAAACTTGCGAATCTGGCTATGGTCTCTCGTTCCTCGGCTACTTGAGGGGCAAATGGGATCTTTCGTTCGGTAGGCTGTCTTTTGATAGGCTGTCTTTTCCTGGCCGACGAGCCGTGTGCTCGATTTTTGTGCCTCCTCGTCTCGTTCCTGACAACTGGTCGAGTTTCGGGGAAATGTCTGCCTTTCATCGAGCTAGGCTCTTCGTCCTCGTCCTCGTAGACGACGCGAATATCCTCGTTTAGATCCGATTCGTCCTCCTCGTACTCCTCGACTATCGCGCTCGCTTGAATCCATTCTCTGATCCGATCCTTCTTCTTGGCTCTGTCCACGGTTGTTTCGATCCCGTACGTGGTCAGAGTGTGAAGCAGTTGATTCTTCTCCTCGAGAGAGCTGTGGAAACTGTACATTGAGGGACATAGCTCGTCCCTTTCGTCGGCGCCACCTGTGCAAACGTCGAATCGATGAGGTGGATAGAGGAATAGGGAGAGAGAAAGACTTAATTCGGATCGATCGTTACCGTTCATCGCCTTCTCGGCACCGAGTTTCGCTAGCCACCTGTCCTCCAAGTATTTATTTACCTCCAACACGCTCACGGGTCGCTTCTCGGTCTTAGGATCCAGCAATCGCTTGAACATTCTGTGTAAATATGGAAAAAAATGGTAAAAATATGGTTAAAATATCATATTGTTGAATATTTTAGAATGATTAATTCGTCGTGAAAATAGATATCTCGAGTAAGGTAACTTGGGTCCATTGTAATTTAATACGAGGAAATTTTTATTGAAAATTGTTTTACTATTGAAATTTATTTAATGAAATTGTTCGATATTGATTTTAGAAAAGTTTTAAATATTTTGGGTTTCTTAGAGTAAAGATATATTGCAATTCTAAAAGCAATATATTCTAATTAGGATCTCTTATTAAATTTAACGAAATCTTTCTTTTTTTAATAATTTCTTTGGAAAAATTATTTTATGTTAAATTTGTGTTTTAATTTATTTTTAAATATTGATCGTAGTTTTAAATATTTCTAAATGAAATATTAAATTTTAAGTAAATTTATGGGAGATCCTAGTAACAACAGCTTGATTCTTTAAATAGATTTTCAAAGCTTCAGACCTTATGTAATGTAATAAGTTGAAATTGATTTCGTAAATTTCATAATTCGTATCGCGATCCATAAATAAGATTCGTTATTTCGTTACGTTCAATAATGGACATGGTTCAGAGACAATAAATCATTTAATTCGGGGGTGGATTAGTTTTAGACGTTCTTCCGCTTGTTTCGAAAACAAACCAAAGCTAAAATGGAAACATTTCTCGGTATTGCCCTCTTTAAGCGACCTCGAAATATAATCTGTTGCATCGTAAACCCTTTCGTTTGTTTTAACACGTAATATCAACCTTGAATTTTCTTTTTATGAACTTGCTATCCCTTTAACGATTTTGACATCAATTTGTATATTCAACTTCCTAATTTAGTTAGGTTATCATATCTAAAAGACTCGTTTTATTCGTTCTGTGAATTTTAAAAATTGATCCAAAATAAAAAATTAGAAAATTCAAAGACACCTCCAAATCGAAATATTTAAATTCACTATGATAAAATAATTTTTTTTCGACATTATTTTTTAATAAGATTTCAAAGTTGTCATTTTTTAAAACGAGTTCTATAATATATTATAATAAAATAATATGTGTGTAATCTAATATGGTGTCTTTGAATATTCATAAAAATTAATTAATCTCAGAACGATGATACAAGTTTTTGAAAACGCAATATACAAAATCCTTTGGATAATTAATAATCGTCCATAATCCTTCCATTAATTCTTACGAATATTAAATGCCAAAATAATTTGACAAGAATATTCCAGCGGCAATTTAACAGAGGCTGGCGCCTGATCCGCAATAAGAAACTGACCTCTGCGCCCGTGAGCTGATCAGCTGAAATAATTTCGGTTTCTTGGCTATGTTGAGCGTCGCGTTGTGCCAGTTTTGATATCTGGTGTAACGCGGATCGTCCAACGCCGCCTTCTGCCATGGCAAACATCCGGTCAGACAGACAAATAGGACAATGCCGAATTGCCAGACGTCGTGCGACGTGAGAGCTCTGAAAACGTAAATAAGATGCACGTATACGTATATTTTGTCATTCATGATCACGCAAGCCGCGATTTCGAAGGATCAATCCTTCCATTTTTAAACGAGGGTGGAGTTATATCTTGATAAAAATTTCACAAAGGACGAGATCAATTTCGTTGAAGATTTATGGTTATGGTATATCGAGAATTATTAGAAAATGTAGATAGAATAAAGATTTCTTATCTTTTCAATGATAAATAATTTTTAAGATATTTTAAGATTAATTCATTGTGCTATTATTATTGACTTCAAATTTATATTTATGTAAGATTTTGTATGAATTATTTATTAATTCATAAAAAATTTATATGATGCATATAAGCTTCATTACATATTCATGATTATATCATTGAAAAGATTGAATATTATTATTTCTCGTTGCTTGGTATTTACTAGTTGAGAAATAATTCCTACGATATATCATTCTTAATGAAAAATTAAATTTCTTGTATTAACTTGTCTTTGCCTTTTGGCTTGTCTGTTAAATCCTTCAAAACTGATTTACATATTTCTTAATACCCTGTATAAATTCATGTCATGATTTAAAAAAGAAGGAAATAATTTCTTTGAACTTTTAAAATTAATAAAGAAAAACGCAATAAATAGGGAATATTGTATTAATTGCTGATAATGGTTTAATCGTATAATTACTTGTACGTTTCGTCAGTGTCGATCTGCAATACCTCGGGCGGCGAATATGGCAGCCACTCGTTGTGTCGTCGCACCACAGTGTTCACTCGTCTTGTTTCTCCAAAATCGCATAACTTGATCCGCGAGAAGTCACTTCTGAACACGAGGATATTGTCGAGCTTGATATCACGGTGCACCAATTCTCGGCTGTGAATATGATGCACAGCAGCCGCCAATTGCCTTGCAACCCTTTTCGCGTGAAGCTCGCCTAACCCCGTCTCTGTCACGTTGGACGTTAAATCTCCTAAAAAACGGTGCATCATTTGAGATATAATAAAATCGTGAGATAAAAATGATATGATAAAGATATATGCAAATGAAGAAGAATATCTTTTCATTCGCTGAAAATAAAAGGAGAAAGTGAAAGTTGAATAAATAATATAATATAAGAATCAAGATAAAGTAAGAAGATGAAATAAGAAGAAAAATAAAAGTTACCGCTTTTTAAATTTGATAGATATATTTTATTAAAAAATGTTATCTTTATGGAATATCTCAGAAGAAGTTATTTAAAAATGAAATGAAAAGAAAATTTAAATGTCTGTGAAACAGACAGAGATTTGTTGTGCATATAATTTTATTCAAAAATAATTTTCACGCACACACGAGCATTCCTTTATTTCATGAGAATCTTAACTATTATACTGCAACTATTTCGGCTTTGTTCCAAATTTCTATGGAATGTGGTAAACACAATGTCTGATCATCATCATGGTTAACCTTGATGGATATTTTACCAAGAATATAAGTAAAATGCATTGCCAGAGAATTATTCGGTAAAAAGCAAGAGAAATTTTAAAAAGAGCAATAATTCATCAGCTCGACATTTCGCTGCCCTTTGTCTTTTTTTTCTTCTTCGTAACTCGATCGAGATCCCACCTCATCAAATATTCCATTATCCCTCGCATCTGAGGTCCCGCAACTCTCAAGAATATTACTTTTAAGGTATTAATCTTACATGCACGGCACAACGTCTACTCCATATTTGTAGAATCATCGAAATTGTAAAAATGGAAATTGATATTCATTACACGATCGAACAAATAGTAAAAGACGATAAATAAATAGATGAACGTATGCACACATTTTTTTCACATTTATTTGAAACGTTCTTTCAAGATTCAAGTAAAACTGAACTTTATGTTCAATCATCTCAATAACAAAATTGATTTTAAATATCAATTTTTGTTAGATATTTAAACTACTCAAAGTGAGCGCAACAAACAATTTCCAATCGATGACAGAAGATTTAATTTGAATAAAACGAAGTTCAAATCGAGTTTTTACTTGATTTGATTATTAATATCACATAACAATAATAGATTGTTAAAAAGAACTCTCACCGAGCGGTGCGTATTCCTGACTGAAAACGTAGAAGCCAGCAGTCTCGAAGGCCACGTCGTAGGTGGTTATGATGTTCCTGTGCGCGGCCAGGTGTAGCCCGTAATGGAACTCGCGAAAGAAGTCCGAGATGCCGGTGTACGCCTTCGGCAGAGCCTTCAGCACCATCTCGGTCTGGGTGCTTCGATGCTCGGTCAGCAGGATTTTGCCGAACCATCCCTCGCCCACGATTTGCAGGATATCGAACTCATCGATCAAGTTCACCTGTTCGACAGAGTAAAGCGCAAGTTGTTGCACAAATTCAGCCGTTCTTAATTTAAACAAGATTGAACGAATGGCGAATAGACGCGATGCAACAACTGCTTTTTTATATAGAGATATCGAAAATATGTGTATTTTTGATTCGAGGCATGATTAAATTTGGGCGCACGATTTCGATAGAGTGGTTTGGGATAAGTTCTGGAAGTAAGAGGATTTGTTTTTTTTTTTTTTTT